ACAGACAGAACAGTGCAGACGGCATAGGAGAATGTGCTGGAGACAGAGGCGGGGACCTGGGCTTAGGCCAAGATCCACCAATACTTGTACATTGGGGCAAGTTCCATACAGATGAGCGGTCTTTGGTTCCGTATCTGCAAATAGGCCTGATGGATGTGCGGTAGAGGCCTTGCCAACGCTAACTTGTCTATGATCCTCCAGGATCCTCACCACAAAGCACAGACCTGGGGTGGCAGCTAAAAGTGGAAGCCAGCTGAGTGTTGTTCTGACCTTCAGCTTGACCTGACTCAGCTGTGATAATTCCCCTGACAGTATTGTAGAAAGAAAGAAAATGGAAATTGTCGGAGAGGTGTAGACAGAAGAAGTTCAAACCAGGAAGGTTCCAGAATGACTTCCTCAGCCTCCTTGTCCTAATTCTCGGGAGTTCTCCACTCAGCTGGACAGAGCACCTACCAGCACCATCCACTTAACACTGTTCCCGGAAGAGGTTCGCTCCAAAAGAAGCGTCTCCGAGAATGCCAGAGGACATGTGAAATCAATGCGGCTTTTCTGGAAAGTGGTTGGACAGTATGTATCCAGAATCTTTAAATACGCAGTCCACTTAGTTCAATAATTCCACTGCTTGGAACCGCCACTGTTGAGATACCAACTGTGTATTAAAAATTACTGAGATGACTGGACAAAAACATTCACATCGGGAGCTCTGGAGACTGGCTGCACAACTTAACACTACTGACCCGTACATTAAAATTCATTAAAAATCAGGAATGGGAAATGGAAACAATGGACATTAAATATCAAGTTCTTCAAGCAAATTGCAAACTACTCACGATATACTATTAAATGAAAAAAGGCAGAGCACATGTGGTCTCAGGTTTACGTGAAGTCGATTAAAAAATAAAAAAACAACTAGAAAAATCAAAACACTAAGAGTAGTTCTGCCTCTATGCTGGGATCTCCAGTTTTCTACAAGAAACCCTCTAGCGCAGTGGTTCTCAACCTTCCAAATGCCAAGACCCTTTAATACAGTTCCTCATGTTGTGGTGACCCCCAACCATAAAATTATTTTCGTTGCTACTTCATAACTGTAATTTTGCTACTGTTATGAATCGTAATGTAAATATCTGATATGCAGGATGTATTTTCATTGTTACAAATTGAACATAATTAAAGCATAGTGATTAATCACAAAAGCAATATGTAATTATATATGTGTTTTCTGATGGTCTTAGGCGACCCCTGTGAAAGGGTCGTTGGACCCCCAAAGGGGTCGCGACCCACAGGTTGAGAACCGCTGCTCTAGCGGGTGAGGGAGGGCGGGGCCTGGCAGACATGAACTCAAGGTCCAAGAATCAAAGGGCAGAATGACTTCCCCTTTACAGCCTGACCGCTTTGAGGTTTTCCCCCTTAAAGAAACAGACAGCCAGAGGGGTTTTCAAAACTGCTACATCAGCTCTGTCAACAGAGACAGACCTGGAACTGGAAGCAGCAAAGGTGCAAACAGCCGGCAGGACCCAGTCCCCCCATACAGATAAGGACGAGCGAGAAAAGCAGCATCACCCACTTGTCACCATCTGCTGTCCCCACCATCAGTGTTTTAAAGGCTGCTTCTCCTTCATGCAGTACCTTTGGATTGTTTCATAATGGGCCTGAAGTGACCTGGGAAATGTAATCCAAATAGAAAGTAACTGATGATGTTACTAATAAACAAACCACAGGAAATGGGCTTTGCTCTTCTCTGGAAGACAAAAGGATACATTACAAACATTAATGAATTCTTAATCCAGAAAGGCTTGCACTCGCCACAGAATTACTTTAATGGACACTGGTCCTTGTTTTCATGACCAGAAAATGTATTTTTCCATTTAGAAAAAAAAAAAAACAACCTGAATTTGAAATACTCAGAAAACTGCATCTTTCAACTAGCAGTAAAATATATATATAAACAAATGGAGCAAGATAGGAGGACAGGAAATAAAAATAATAATTAGGAATCTAAGTGGAATGTAAGAAGCTCAGTCATGTAAAATGCAGGGTCACAGTCTTGCAAGGCTAATGACACTGTGTCTGGCCCAGAGCTCCCATGGCCCAGGAGCTAACCACCAACTGTACCCGTATACAAACTTTCATTACTACGGGCCGCGTGAGTGCCTATTACAGGGGTTTATGGAATTTGACCTTTGCCAGAATAAATAGTTTTGGTCCTTGACAGTTTCTTGATTAGTGTCAATTAGTGAAGAGTTTCTATCCAAACAAGTAAAACAGGTTTGGTGGTGTGTGTGTGTGTGTTTTTAAGCACCTTCTTAAAAGAGAAAGAAAGGGGTTTTGTCTTAAAAATAAGAACAACAGTCATCAAGGTAGTTTCAGAGCTGGATCTGAAAGGTGACAGGATCCCGCTCAAGTGGAGGGCTCCACACCTGGGGTGCTGCACGCACAGCACACCGTGATTGCTGTAGGGTTGGCAACCGCCGGCTACCTTTTTAAATAGACGGCCGTTTTTACATCCAGTGCACGTGCACAACCATATGCCAGCTATTTTTACAGGCAGGTGGACCATCGGGGCTCTGGATAGTTTTCCAACAACATGGCTTAGACAGAAATCTGTGTGTAAGACGCTGTGGGGAAAATGCTGTTTATTTGTCTGATGGAGTCTGACCTTTCCTTTTCGAATTAAAATGAAGAAAATAAAGCCGAGGCACCACTGGGAGACACAGATCTGGGCATGACACACGCACGGCTCCGCTGGAGAAGAACCTGCTGAGTGTGTTTAATTGGCATTTGGGCCCCCTTTTTCTAATACGGAGAATATTTCCTTCACTCCATGAAAAGGCTGAATGTTGCAGAACTACTTCCTTCTATTTATAAGGCCTTGCAAAGATCTTAGCAGAAGTAAATGTCGTCCCTACGGAGAAAAACAAACTCTTGAATATTTTCTCAAAACCAAAGACATGTCATGTGGTCGGGACACAGGACCAAGGCCTTGTCAGGGGCTTCCCTGCAGGTGAGCCTGTAGCCTCGAAGATGGTGCTGGAGGGCCACACTTCCCAGGCTCACCATGCTACTCGCTGCTACCTAACGTCCCACTGAAGTGCCACTAAATAACCAAATAAATAAACCGTAACTGTGGTAGGTGATGGATGCATTCACTAACCTTACTGTAATCATTTTCCAATACATACAGATATAAAGTTGTATGGATATGTGTCAGGTGATCTCAATGAAGCTGGAAAAAACAAATGCAGTTAAAAAGAAGATTTAAGCCTGGCCAGTGTGGTTCAGTGATTGAGTGTCGCCCATGAACCAGGAGTGTCGATTCTCAGTCAGGGCACACACCAGGGCTGCAGGCTTAATCTCCGGTGGGGGGCGTGCAGGAAGCAGCTGATCTATCCCTCTCTCTAAAATCAATAAAAATGTATTTAAAAAGAAGGTTTAAGTCCTACTAAAACAAAGAGTGAATCTGTTATTAATAATGAAATTATATCTGAAATGCAGTATTCCCTATGTCTCAAGTGTGTGCTTGTCCCAAGACTCAAGCAACAAATCATCTACAGTAGCACAAACCACGGGGAAACTGTCCTAACAATCCACTCTCTGCACTCGCCATTACCCTCCACTGAGGTCCCTCAAGAGTCCAGATGGGCTCGAATTCTATTATCTATTTTATATAGATGAGGGATGCTTAGAGAAGACACCTGCCGGTCCTTAGCCATCAGACGTGGGAAGTGCATAAACACACGACTTCAAAGGCAAAGGACAAGTGATGTGGCTGATAAGAGGAAAAGTAAAACACTGTGCAGAGTTTATAGAAAGGCAGTATGGAAACTGTGACTTAAAAGAAGAAATCTGCCAGAGATACAGCGGTTGGGGGAAGACAAAGAGAAGGAAGAAAAGACATTCCAGGAATTTCCCCAAATACTGATAAACAGGTCAAATTCCTTGGCACAGGAAATCGCTTCATACCAAAAAGGTCTCCAAGTTCCAGCGAATGACTGGGTTGTAAACAATGTTGTCCAAAATAAGAAAGTTCTAGAATCATCAAGTATTTTGGACACTCACCAACTCACAGCGCCATTTCTAACAGTCAAAGCCTTAAAAGCTGCCTTCCTAATTGTACCTCCCCACAAACTGCAAATAGCCACTAAAGGATTCTGAAATGATGCATAGGATATTAAGAAACACAAATATCGAGGAAACCAGAAAAACAAACACAATTTTTACAGTCCGGGGCACATTTTAGACTAACTCCAAACATGTGACGTGTAGATGAGAGCATTCTGTGCGGGCCCCATAATCCGGAAGGCCCAACCGTCCCACCCTCAGCAAACAAGTACTCAGCGAGCCTGAAAGAAGGTCAACGGACTTTTACGACCCCAGGTATCAGCATTTTGGAAAGGCTTTCCTCACATCTGATTCATAACCTCTCCAAGCTAAGTAACGCTGGGTTTGTATTGGCAGTGTTAACTATAAGAAGTTGGTAAGCGTGAGGAAAGCGAAAAAGACTTTAACCAAATAATCCATCCATCCCGTCCCTGCCACTTTACAAGTCTGAATTTTCACAAACAATTAAATTTTATAGCTGTTCAAAAGCCAGATGATGTAATCAAAGAAAACACATCGGTGTATGACACTTGGTAGTAATAGCTGTTATCAGATTACACTTGCCCAAATCCAAAACCTTTAAATGCACCAATGTGTTTAAAGTGTTCCCAGATTCATAAGCAAGAAAACAACAAAATCGATGGTTAACGTTAATACTGATAACAAGATCTGGAATCTTTATAAAAGTCTAGCCTGGGTAATCAATATATTTTATATTCAAGTTGAGCTAAGAAAATGAATCCATTCACAATTCTTAAGATTTCCTTTTTTTCAGAAGTCATTGCAAAAAGAAAAAACCTGCTCCCAGATTTCTTATAGGCACTAGTTTTGCTTAATTTCAATGCGTGTATTGTGTATATAACCAAGACCTTGGTCTAGGTATTGTTCTGTTGCTTGCTTACCTGGGGATTTTTTGTTTGATCTTGATTGCACCGAGTGAGACTGTCGTGGCAGCAGAGGTGATGAAGGCAGAGACATGGAGACACCCTTGGCCAAGCTCACCCTATAGGTGTCCTCAGCCATAGGAAGGCTGCTCACAGAAAAGTCGCCACCAAGGCCAGAGGGCAGGCCTGCAGGGGAGGTCTCTGGACCAAAGTCACCTCCTGGAGAGGAGAAAGAAAACCTTAGGTTAGAGCAGCCATCACAGGTGGAAGCAAATTTAATTCCTAGGAACTACATTCTTAGAATGTAATTCCCATAGAGCATATGTGTATGCACCGAATTTTTTTAACAACTTTTTTCCCCTCTCTACCACTCTTAAGGACTTTTAACACGGTGAGAGAAACTTCAGGTTTCACCCCTCAAGCATCAATAAACTGCCCCATACCCTTTTCTGCACCATACCAACTGGTCTGGTTTCATTCATAACAATGGGTTCAGAAAGCCACTGATCTCAGATTAGATCAAGGTCAAGTATGAATGACCCACAAGAAGATTTAATTTCAGTCTAAAGAAAGGGGGGGAGGGTTACATAGGTATCAATAGAATAGATTCAAACAACAAGATCCATCCACAATTCTCTGGCCTCCTACCAGTTTTCTAAAAAAAAAAAAAGTCCAAGAGAGTCTGGCCTACTTCAACATTCCTCCCCAGTTCTCTCATCTGACCCACGTCACACGCCCCATGGCATAGGGTGGACCCTCCTATAACTCAACCAGCCCAAACCCTTCGTTCCAAGACCAGAACCATGGCTCACTTATTAAAGCAGGTTCTCCCTGGCATTCAGTCCCTAAATGAACTTAAGGACAAACAAGCTTACTGTTATGACATTAAACATTCTGAAGTAAGCAGATGCAAAGAAAAAATACTGAAGATGCAATTACAGTGAAGGGACTACATATGTAACTCGGAAGAGACTATATAGGCCGGGACCAGCCTCACCAGAAACCGCCCCCCCCAATCCAGGCTGCAAGCACTCAGACACAGATGCTTCTCCTACTGTCCCTCTTTCCCCATCAACTCCTTCCTGTCCCCCGCTGAGAAGCAACTGAGGAAGTGCAGGCAGAGGAGGAGGTAAATCATTATCCTGATGATTAAAAACATCTTCAACCTTTAAATAATATACGGAGAACTGGAAAGCTTTAGACAGTTTTCCACAAGCAGACTAGGCTGCCAAATGCTATCCAAGTGGCCCTCGTGACCAGTCCCTGCCAGCTCGTGGGTGTCATCTTAGGAATGCAAACAGGTGCTGTGCCTGCAAGAATGGCTCCTGGTCACCTGATTCCTGGATGTTTAGCAAGAAACAGAGGAGAACTTGGAAAGCACTGAGGCCACAGCCCAGAACCCCAGGGGGTTTACACACAAAGGATGTGAGGTGGGGCCCTGAAGAGGTGGCACTGGGTCTCCATGTGGTGAGAAGAGAACCACCCTGCCCCATGGCTGCCATTATGGCCCCTATACCTCCGTCCCGGGCAGTCAATGGCTGTGGGGAGCCTGACAGGAGCAGGCATGGTGACACTGTCTTTCCCACTTACTCACGAGTATTTCTGACCTATAAAAACAACCACAGCCCAGTAGCCCAGCAGTTGAGTGTTGACCTGGAGGTCACAGTTCCATTCCCGGTCAGGGCACATGCCTGGGTTGTGGGCTTGATCCCCAGTGTGGGGCGTGCAGGAGGCAGCCCATCAATGATTCTCTCTCATCGATGTTTCTTTCTTCCTCTCTCTCCCCCTCTCCCTTTCTTTCCCTCTCCCAAATCAATAAAAATATATGTATTTATAAAAACAGCCCAGATTTCAACTCCCTGAATTTGAATGGGAACATAAAATTAGGGAGAAATGCATCTACTGTGACAATACCAGAAATCAAAAGTAAGCTCACTGCTGAGACAGGTTTTATTTTCTTAAATACTTAGTATTCTCTAAGGGGATACAAGAGAAATTGGAGATTCAAGGCTAAAAGAGAATTGGAGTTTCCTAATTAGAAAAACTGCCCCAAACTTTGTTTATATCAAGCAATACAAATATTTTCATTAACTGCAAGTCTGGTGGGGAGTTTCCAAGGCATGCTGCAGCCACCAGGCCCTTCAGCCTTCGCACAGCTGCGCTCGGGCACTTTGGTTTCATGCGGTCGGCAGTAACACGTGACTCAGAGATGACGTTTGGGAAGGACGGGTTTTCATTTCAAGTTTAGTTTGAAATCACACTGTAAGATCAGTCCCAAATATGTTGTTCAGTTGGTCTGTTTTGCAGACACAATGAAAGATCCCTAGCTTCTCCTTTTATAAGAAAGGGAGAGACGTTTTATGTATGAACAGGTGGCACAAAGCACGCGGGGTGATCCAGTGGCTGAGAAGCTAAAGACAGAAGCTGTCGAGCCTGGTGCTTTAACTGCACGAGGGCAAAGGGGTTCAGGTCAAAGTCAGTCTGGCAAGCGCATCACAAGGAGGCAGCCGACGCCAGGCAGATGGCGAGGCTCTCTCAGGGGCATCCGTGAGAACTATACGATATCGGTCTGCGCAACAGAAACCAGCATTTCTCCGCTGATTTAACATTCCTCAGCAGATGCTTATTAAAGCAGTTTAGGAGGAATTAAAAACATGTCACGGCAACGACCAGCAGGGCTGGCACATTTCTCTGAGCCTGGCATCCATGTTTTTGTCGTAGCTGTGATCCGTGTCATTCCCTCCTCAATAAAGTGATGGGAAGCACGCTTCATGTCACTGCTGCAGAAAGGCCCAGCCAGGGAGGATGGTGCATCCTCTCCCGGGTATGAAAACCACGATGTCCACCACAGAGGATGTGCCAGGCCTCCTCCCGTTCCGCCGGCAGGTGTTTCCCGTGGAACATTTACACCCTCGGCCCGAGATGCTGGTAATCCCAGAGAGCACTGGTCCAGTCATTGTTTCACAGGCAGGAAGCTGGAGCATGGGGGTTAACCATGACGAGAAGGTGAGGGCTTCCCCCCCAGTCTCCCCAACCAGCCAGCTCAGGCTGTGACGTACTCACTACCCTACACAATTAAGAACTTTACTTTGGGGGGAAAAACAGGAAATTCTCCTAAACAGACATGCTTTTGAGTTAAATCTATAAGGCAGGGGTGGAGAACCTTTTTTCTGCCAAGGGCCATCTGGATATTTATAACATCATTCGTGGGCCATTCAAAATTATCAACTTAAAAATCAGCCTGCTATATTTGGTCAAACATTTAATTAACTCACCCCTAATGCGTTGGCAGGGCCAGACCAAATGATTTTGAGGGCCTGCAGACCGGACATTCCCCACCCCTGCTATAAGGGGTCAGCACATTTTTGCTATACAGGTCACATACAGTCATTTACACACACACACCCCTTTTCTTATTTTAAAATCATCAAAATTCTCTGATTTCCAAAAATAAAAGGCTAGAAAGGGCACAGGGCATAAGGTTCTTCCTATTTGTAATAAACGTAAGTAAATACTCACAAACATACACACAAAGACCTGCAAATCCAAGTCACAGTTGGCAAAGATAATGCAACTATCAAAGGGGAGAAAGCCATCCAATTAGGCGTTTTAAATTGGCAAAAGTGGGTTTTGATAATAGTTCATTTTATTCCCCCCCTCGCCCTCCCCCCCCCCCCAGACACACTTTTACAGACTGTGAAAAGGGATTTAAATGCACAATGAGAAGGAATGGGAACCTGGGAGATAATGCATGCTCAAAGGCGGCTATGCAGAATGCCGTGTCCAGCCCTACAGATTAAAGTTACACGGAGTGCGGGATTAGAGAAGGCTTTAAAGAACGAGGGCAATGGAGCCAGAGAGATGAAAGCAAAAGCACATTTCAGAAAGACCCGAGAAAGCCAAGGGTGAGCTCAGACATTCAGGTAAATAGGTCTGCAGATGCAGGAAATAAGGTTTCCATTTATTATGCTGTTGAAGTGGCCAGGTGGAGGAGGGGAAATGGAGGCTCTGAATAGAAAGAGAAAAGATGTCTGTGTAGCCAGTTCCAGAAATCGGGGCTTGGGGGATACACTTAACTGGGGCATTAAATGTGTTAGGCATCTCTTATGCCGTCCCTGCCCGGGAGTGCACTGATGTTTCTTAAACATATTTTCCAACATAAGGTTTTATAACCATATAACTCACATTTATTTACAGAAACCTAGAAAATTGGAAAAGATTTCCTCCCACAAGATCCAATATCATTTTCAGGGACTTCGGAAAGCACTTTAAACCATTTTACATCTTATAGGATCTCCCCAAGTACCCAGCCAGACTGATTGTTCATGCGCATTTTCAAAAAAGAACGATTAACGTTTCTGAGAAAGCAATTTTCCAAAATATTATTCACACAGTTGTGACTAATTCCCAAACAATACTGCTAAAAGGCAACAAAGCAGCAAGCCCCCAGAATACAGAAAGACCTGGTCAATAGGACAAGTTTAGCCTTTTGTCTTCAAAACTTGACCAAGTGGGTTCTAAACAGAAATCAGAACATACTATCTTCACCGTTCATTCTTAATACTCAATGTTACAGAACCAAATGTACTTGATATCCTGAAACAGGGGATGAGGAAACGGGCTGCCTTTTCTTTCCTCTGATTGCTGAAGTTTTCCCCTGAAGGCGTGTCATCATTTAGTGTTGCTGAGTTTTAAGAATATAGGAACGCAGAAAAACCCCCACTCCCAAGCCCCGGAGGGGTACCCTTAAAAATAAAAAATATGGTTTCTTTAGACACACTATGTGTTGGGACAGGGTTTCAGGCTCTTCATAACTATGCTCTCCTATCCTCCCAACCACCCCATGCAGTAGGTGCTAACCTTATGCCCCTCCTTCGGTAAGGACACTGAGGCCCAGAAAGCATCCAGTACCTTGCCCGAGGACCCTGGCACATGGCAGAGTTGAACTTGAACCCAGGCAGTCCCATCCGGAGTCCATTCTCTCTCTCGGTAACGCTGCCCTGCGAAAAGGCTACTGACATAGGCCTTTCACCATGACGTCGTTTGTGTATTTAATAGGGAAAACCAAAAATAGTGTATGTAGGTCTGTCTACACGCAGTACTGGGCCACGGAGGGAAGAAGCTGTTCCCTCATCTGTTCTCACTTCTCGTGCTGGCTGGTTAATTAGCCCCCCCAGCGCTCCTGGAACACTCCACTTGGGAGGCGCCCAGGCCCCGCG